CTGTCGGTCTCCCTTGTTTTCTTCTCTCTTCTTTTCTGGCAGCGTTCCACGATCGATATATAAATAAGGCGAAAAATATGTTATCCTGTTTAACCATCTCTTAAACAGGATTTTCTCAAGGTAAACCGATTCACTCAATTGACCTGAATCACAACGATAGAGCTAATATTAGAAAAATAAACATGCAGAAACATTGTGCAGTAATCGAGTAATAGTTAAGTAACAGGAAAGAGTAGAAAAACAACACGTGAAAATAACGTGAGTGTAATTTATATTATATATAACATTAAATATAATACATATTATATATATAATTTATTATATATTTATAATATTATACTTTATATTGTATTATATGTATTATATACATACTACAGAGTAATGTCACTGACCGCGGGCGCGCGGCCTTGGTGGGGGCGGGGTCACTGGCCTCGGTCGCGCGACCGCGGCGGGGTCAATGAACTCGGTCGCGCGACCGCGGCGGGGTCAATGAACTCGGTCGCGCGACCGCGGCGGGGTCAATGAACTCGGTCGCGCGACTGCGGTGGAGTCACTGACCTCGGCCGCGCGACCGCGGCGGTGTTACTGACTTCAGTCATGTGATTACGGTATACATATATATAAATACATATATGCGTATGTGTGTGTATTATATATAGATATAGAATATTACATATAATATATATAATATTCTCTTTTTTACTCTTTTTTCTGTCACGTAACTTTAGTCACGTGTTGTTTTTCCACTTCTCTCTCACTATTTTTCGAGTTTGATTTTCACGCGTTATTTCTGACATCTCTCATATGTATATTATGTTTTATAAGACGTATATATTAGCTGTCATCGCGGTAACAGATTGTGTTAACTTACACAACACATTAAAATAAAAATGACAATAGCGAGCGCGTAGCGTGCGCCTGTGTTGTGCTAGTATTTTCAAGAAACGCTTCGTTCTACCAATTTTTTAAGAATTTTTTCCGAGTAATTTTAGAATTTAAAAAAATACATTTTTGTTGCATATATCTGTCTTCGTGCAGCCAGAGAAAAAATATCTCGAGCAAAAATATTACACAATTAAATAAAGAGCGCGGTTGACGAGACATGTGATATCTTTGTTCTACATCGACAAAGGTGGCAGATATTTCGGAGATGATTCTCGGTGACAACAGCGCGAGACGAAATAATAACATAAAGTAACAATTTCGACTGTCTAGTGGGGAGACAGATTTTTTTTCTATTTTTCTCACTGAGATTTTCATGAATTAAACAAAATGAATTTTCAAAACTGAGATACGTGTTTTAAGGGGATTAACACCCTTCCGTATTTGGGAAAGTGTCATTTGTTGCGCATCGACAAGCAACGCCGCACGTCGCCTCGGGTTGCGGTCTCCGCAACACAGACGCAGGCATGAAATTCAATCAAAATCAAAGGGATAAGGAGTATCGGAGCGTGAAAGCAAACGCGCTCGGGTGGTTCCGACGGATTCCTCGCGGCCGGAAAATGTTTCGCAGCGCCAGTGTATCGATCGAACGACTTTATTATCGGTAGGAGAGAGAATTTCGGCCGTGGTTCTCTCGAGACGATTCCTAGGAGATTGTTCCTTATCGGTTGTAGCGCGACCGCAAGTTTATCATATCCGATCACGGAGGTCTCTCGCGTGAGCATAAATCATTACGGGACGGGATGAACGAAATCGCGATTGCGGATGGCGCAGCTGTTCTCTGTCTCACTTCCACTAATCGATCCCGCGGGAACTTATACGCTTGCGAGGTCTCTTTATTGAAGATATATCGAGAAAACGACGAAATATTTAAAGAGAATGATCTCGCGCATTTTGATTGGTTTGATTAGAATACGAATTGTGACTATACTTTTACGTAAACTACAATATTTTTACGTAATAAAGTAAAAAAAATATCAAAATATCAAAAGATTGTTTTAAAAGTTTTCATTTTTACACACTCACATGTAGCATATAATAATATCGTTTTGAATTCGATATCGTGACGTAATGTAGATCTGTACCGTCAAAACTTGAACAAAATATTATACTGCGGGGATAGATATGTGAAACGCGTTTGAATAGATATATATCGACAAAAAATGTTTCAAAAAGCGCGTGATAATTAAATTAATTTGTATTAATTACATAAACAGATCGACAAACGTTTCGACTCGCGCTTCATTTATTATTCACCGAGAAATCCGGATTTCGCTAATCGTTAGTGTATAAAACGTGTATTTTGCATGACAGAGAGACCTTGCTTGCTCGAGAGGCGACAAAGGGAGTGACCGTAGAAATAATATCCCGAGGAATTAAGGAGCTCTCTCAGCTCATTTACGGTCCAGAACCCTTCGAGACTGCACGCGTTAGTCACGCGCGACAGAGTTCTCTTTAAGGTTTGCGTTGTTTCTACGTGCCCAGGCGAGTCCCAAAGCTCTCGGTCAGGGCTTAATGCGCCTAATGGAACCTCCTGAGTGCCGTTACCAATTTTGCCGCGACTCTCACGATTTAGCGGCGAGCCAACCAACCGAGACATGATCAAAATTTATTAGCCGGTCAGCCGTTCGCAAACAGTCGCCATCATCGTCGGAATGTGTTATGATTTCTCTTTGTAAACGCCGTACATACTTATTTTGTTTGTCCGAAAACAACTTTGTTATCACGCTGAAAGTTTACTCTTTAATTAAGATGTGTGATGTTGAAAATCTATTCTAAAAGATGTTTTAATCTCACAAATTTGTCTCCGCTAGAAAAAGTGTAAAATAATATACTGTCTTATCTTTTCTCATATCTTTTCTCATCTGGTATTTAATTTGTAGTTTATCACTTTGAGCTCATCATAGAACGTTCAAAAATTGTGAGGAAAAAGATATATAATATAAAAAATAATATATATTATATACTATATACATATATATAATATTTTTTTTTAACAGAATATTTACATTCTTGTGTGAAGTAAATTTTAAGCTCGATTCAGACATATTTTGATTGGCTTAATAGTTGCCATAAAATACGCATACGAGCGTTGCATATTAATTATGATAAATATGCGCGCAAACGAGTCTGCGTATATACACTCTCTTAACGCGTATAAATATCGTGCCGTAACTTTTAACCATCCGGATTAAGCGGCGTGTGGCGAAAATATTTCAGGCGGAATTATGTCGAGAGAACAACGGGCTTGTCCCTCGAAGGATGCAAATGCCGCTCGATTAATTCTTAGCGACGAAAAACATTTCGAGCTGCTCAACATTCTTGTACGACAGCGGGTGGTTAAGCATAGTGCCTGCCGTTTGCTATCAACATTTTAATCGAAAACGTTCGACTTTCTTAGAGTTTTAGACAAAGTACCTAATTAGAAATCGACCTTCGCCGATGCTTCGTACGGCTATTTGTCACGCACATCTTCGCCACTGTTGCTCCCCTGACAAATTTCGCGAAAAGCACAGATTTGATCTAACGAAAAGAGAAAAATTATCGAAGTGTGTCTTTCCCGATTTTTTCGATAAACTCTGGAAGATATAGACGGACACATTTTTTCTACACATGTTAGTATTCATAGATTCTTCCACGAGAGAAAACACCTCTTTAAAATCAGATAAAAACTCTTTAAAACCGGCACACTTCCAAGGGAGAAATTAGATTTTTTTCTTTTCAAGTAAATGTTGTCGAAACGCGATAAGAATTACAAATTTCCAACAAAAGTTACACGGCGTCTTTTATGTGTCTGTGTGTTTTATATCCGTAACTCTTGAAATTTTTATTCGACACATTTTTTTCACACATTCTAAGCGTTTGAAAATATTCGTTTGGAAAGGGGAACAATATCTGTTTTTTTTCAAAATTCATAAACATTGAAAGACATTTTGATCAACTATTTCTGTAAGATAGCTATTTGGAATTTTTATTATTCATATTATCATCGATAATCGATACTCGAGATTGTCACGGATCAAAAAGAACGACATAATTATCTCTCAACAATCATGTTATATTTTCAAACATTTAATAGGTCACACTGTTTTTTATTGATTTATGTACTTATAAAAAAAACATTGCTTCATAAGATATAATGAAAATTCACCAATCTTTGTTAACCTCTTCTTGAGGACGAGCGTCGACTATAGTCGACAGATGCCGAAACCATTGGATTGTTTACGTTCTTCAGTTATGTTCTTAGTCTGGATACTTTGTAAGTAGTTTTTGTATCAACTCTTGTGTCTGTCAATTTCTCAATTTAATACGTTTGCTTGCGGTTCGCAAGTAGTCAAGTAACGTTACGCGGCGGACGAGCGCCGTATCGAAAAGATTAAAGAAACTTTAATCTTTTCGATACGGCGCTTTTAATATTCGTGTTAAAATCGAAAATTCTCTCCTTTATTATTAAGATTTATGAAATTTTAGCAAACTGTGTGAAAATGAAGTAAAAAAAAATTGAGTTTCTTAAATTGCTAGCGTGCGGGATTATCTCGCATCAGGTCGACATTCGTGAAAATTAATAATGGAAAAAATTTCACAGAATATCATAATAACAGCACAAAAGTCACGACAAATAATAATCCCGAACAACTGTGCGCGCAATAAACATGAGACGGCGAAGGGCGAGAGGGAAGTTTCAACCGGCATGCAGGTTGAAAATTTCATCTCGCGGAAACTCGGTCTCACGGCGCGGCGAACGAAGCAGAAACTTATTCGACGTATTGCCTTCCGCGATATTAGAATATATCACGGAAGGTGAGATCATCATTAATTATCCATGTGGAGTCAGCGTTAGTCAGACAGAGTCGTACGTGTCAGTAATAAATTTAGGTCTCGCTAATCGCGCGATATCTCGAGCGTCAGTGCATTATTCGTTTGCGCGCGCAAACTTGCGGACGCTTAAGCTCCAAAGTGTTTCCCGAAATGTCAGTCTGCGCGCACATATCCGCGCGACTGGCAACAACGAGAGACGAGGAGGATAATAAATACAGATCAGAAACAATCGAACTCACCGCGTCGTTATGATTCCAGAAAATATAGGCAGGTGGTTCTGGACTCTGCAGAACGACGCACGTAAGATTGATGGTGCTACCTCGATTGATGAACAGATCCGGCGCACCCAGGATCTCGGTTTTTGGTTCTGAAAACAAGTAAAAAATATTACATGCAAGCGATTCTTTCGAATGTTACACAGTTTACTTTACGTTCGTGTTTGCGTGCGAGATAAAAAGAACGGATTCACTTTTCAGCGGAGTGTGACTTATTATCGGGACTATTTTTGTCGTCGTGAGAAGAAGAAGCGCGCGCCACGCAATAAGTTACACAAAGAGAGAAAGAGTCGTGTACTTTAAATGTTACATTACGCGAGAAATATATATATATATATAAGACGCAGTGATATATTTCGTGTTTTTCTCTTCCTCTTTGTAGGCCGCGTAGTTTCCTGCACGGATTAAATTCCAGAACTCAAGCGCGATATTACATCTGCGCTCGGAATCTTTATTTCATGCAAACGTCGGACAGTTATCGCGGAACGCTTCCCCGGCAATGCGATATGATTTCTTAATGCCCTCGGTCGAACCCCCGCCTTTTTCGAGGAAGTGTATATCGCCTGAGATAAAGAAGACGCGCGCGCGCGAGCGTTCTCGACTTTCTTCCGCATTAAACTTGAGAATCCGAATACTCGCGGGATCTTATACGCGCGTCTCATGACTTTATGCGCGCTTTATGTAAATAACGGATATTTGTCACGTTGCTCTTCGAGACCAGTTTGCCAAGACCGACGCGACGCTTAGTCTCTCGCCGGATTAAATCTAAAGATTTAAAGATAAGATTTCCCGTCCCGACCTAGAATTTTACGTTTCCTTCATGTAAATGTCTGTGATGTGTTTTGGTTTTTTTTTTTACGATTTTACGGCCACGCGTTAGCTCTTGTGAAAAGCGCAATAGCTCTGGCGAACGATCGGCGAAGATTTTGCGTCCTTTAACATCGTACACACACACACATGTACCTAATACTATAAAACTGTATTATTTGTTAGACGAATCAAGCGCACTATTACTTTGACCCTGAACAGTAAGAAATTATTGACAACAGACAGCACAGCTCAAACATTGCGCAAAGCAAATCGCAAAAAGCAAACTGCTCTCAGTAACATGGAAAAAAGACAATAATGAAATGTTGACACGCAATTTTTGAGAGGATATATATCGCTGCACGAGATCCGGATACAGGTTTGTAAAACCAAAAGGCAACATTTGTTGACGCGCCGTGAAAACAACACAAAGCTTTGTATCATTTTATTTTGACTGTTCGCTGAGAGAACTTTCAGCGCTTGTCATAAACACGTTCATGTAAACGGAACACATTTTCTGCTAGCCCGTACACAATTTTATCAAAGCAAAACTAACTGTTTCATCTCTCGATCTAAAACTAGACTAGAGTTATTAAAGATGCATAGAGAAATAATTCGACGCGTTTCTCGTCTCTAAGGGAACCTAACCAGGACTAAGGATTTGACACACGGAGTCAGAAATTGTTGCGGGAATTTGAATCAGGAATCTGAATCGCGATTCTCCCGCATCTGCCGCGAGAATTATGCAAAACTACATACTCGGGGCGATCCTCCTCTCAAAACGGTAGGAATTATTGCCGGAAGCCTCTTCCTCTATCGCCCACCGGCTCTTTCACACCGGATAATAGACCATCGCTGAGAATGAACGCGTCAGAAATTTTATTTATAATGCCAAAAAGTGTCGGCCACGTCATCGTGACTCGATATTTATAGTTCGCGTCCGGCCGGACGCGAACGGATGAACGAACGGTCCGTTTTGCGTCCTTTTGTGATGCCGAAGAGTGATGCGTTTGACCTGGCCTCTATGCACGCCTTCGAAAGAGCACTTTGAGGCGTTTCATATACAGAGTATCCGGTATCTGTAGCGTGGTCGCAAACTTGTTCCTGCTACGCGCGTGTGTACATATATATATATATATATATATATACATATATATATTATGTGTATACGAGTGTGTGTATATATACACATATGTGTGTGTATGTGTGTGTGCGTATTATGAGGAAGAGATGGAATGGGAGAGGTCAGCCGCTAGATCGATGTGAATATTTTCCGGGCGGCCTCCTCCTCGAGGATTGACCGAAATAACCGGGCAGCGTACTTTACGGCTTTTGTGCAACGGATGATACTCGCGACGGCGGTTAACCCTCTGGGTGGTTAACAGCGCCAGGCGTTTCCCTTCCGCGTCTCATCTTTGTGCTTTCTTTTTCCCGAAGCTTTTTCTTCCAAAGACTCTTAACCATTTTTTTATATTTTACACATATATATGTAGTCATTTATGACTTTCTAAATATTCGAACTTTTTTTTTACTTTCTCGACAACATCCGCTCTCAAAAGCAACACACAGTGGCGTCTACGTGCTTATCGATCGCGCAAATATACGCTTTAACGTCGGTTAATCGCCAATGAAAGCCGGTCTTCGTCAGACGGGAAACTTTCCGGGCGAAATCAGGCCTCGTCACAGACCCTTCAACGAAGAGTTCCCAAAATTCTCAAGTTGATGGGATACTTATTACGATCCTGTCTCGCGTAAATTCGCCTCGGCGAATTACTAACGGAGATTTCTCACGAGATTTCTTTATACATTTCTCAACTACGATTATCATCAATATATATATATATATATATATTTTTTTTATATTGCCATTTTATATTCTCTTAAAGTCGTTTAATAAAAATCGTCGATATAAGAGTTTTTTCCGTCCATCGACTGTCGAAGCATTTTATGTTCTCTGACGGGTTTTGGATTACTCGTTGATATACAGTCATAACTCGTCTACGTCGTTTATCATCCGCAATTAATTGTGATGTAGTCTCTTCTCAGTACAGACACACACACACACACACACACACATAGGCACACACAGTTCATAAACGATTTAACAATCGAGCGTAATTGTTCATTTTATTAACATTGAATTAAAATTTCAATTTAATTATTACAAATAAAAAAGTACGTCTGCTGTTTTTATATGTGCGTGCGTGCGCAGAAAATTTTACTTCGATAATAACCTACGAGTAACATGTAACTTTGTGGAAAAAATCTAGTAGGAAACAATGGCCCGCGTTACGCTCTCATTTGAAACTTTATTAAAGAAGTTTGTTACGCGATTTCGCGACACGGGTGCCCGAATGAATAAAAGATGTCGATAGACGACGGGAGTAAAATATATACTAGGATAAGAGTTGAACGTCTCTGAAGCGAGAGACTGTCGTCTCGAGAAATCGATTTCATCTTCGCGACGCTTTTCGAAGACGGCGGTTTTGAATTTGGGTTAATGCAATAGCAATTTATAGTTCTGATGATTGAACATGTATATAGTTTTAAAGAAACTTGGAAGAAAAATTTTAACTATCAAAAAAAAAAAAGAGCTCTCTCAATCAAGCATATAGAAATTAAGAGATATTTTAGCAAAAATCAAAATTAGAGAAATATTATTTAAATATAAAATAAGAAATAAGGTTGGTGAGAATTAATTCTTATATGCGTTCGAATATTTTAACAGAAAACACACATCACATCCGATTCCTTTACATAACAAGAAATAACAAGTTTCAAATATAAAAGTCAATTTTTCTTTGTGAGTTTTGCTTTCCTACAAAACATACGTACTTTATATTTTGAAAATTTATCCAAGACATATATATATATATGTTGTTTTCCCCAAGACTGTAGATAAGATCCTTAGCTGTTTACTCTCCCGATTTAGCTGTTACAATCGATCGTACGATCATCGATACTCAGCAGTCGTGCGAGAGCGCTCACAGCTGGTATTTGTCGAGAGCGCAAAATACACTCACGCGCAACGCGCTCCTGAACGCTTGACCTAAATAAAGCAGCTTGCACAATCGTCCGTTCCTCTCTGCTGCGGTTTCAGCAAGGTGCAAGATGCACGCGCTCAGGTCGATATAGTCAGTTTAGTTTACATTTCGGTCATCGAGGACACGTTAACAGATGCACCATTTGTTATATTAGAAAGAGAGGGAATTTTTTTCGAGTAGAACGTACGTGTTCAAATTTTTGAAAAATAGGTCAGGACACGTTGGATTTCTGATTCAGACCAGTATATAAATATAAATGATACATATCGAACTTTTGTAAGAGACTCGAGATGACTTCTGCTTCGAAAATACGACGTGACATGTGGACGAGACAATGAATTACATTTAAGCGACCCGATCTCGCGGTGATGTCTACCGAATATGATGCAAACAGAAGGCGAAATAGATAACGCGAAGCGTATAATACGCAGAGCAGTTAAAACCGGTTGAAAGAAAAACAGAAGAATCAGGTTTTTTTTTCTTCTCCTGGCAAGCTAGTTGAGGTTGATCTGAGATTTGCGAAATGAATCTTTACGTTCGGCCATTTGCACGACCCTTCCGGTAAGTTCTCCCGTAGCGTCCTCCATCTCGTTCCTTTCTCTATTTCTCTCTGGAGATCCAAGTTTTTCAATTTCCGGAAAAAACCAAGATATGAAATTCCACGATTGTGGCTTTGTTTCGCACATTCCACGTTATAGCGTCGATAAGAATAAATAATAAATCAATTAACGCTGAAATTACGAAGCACGCGCGAATTGTGTAAACTGCATTAACGATATGTAGATACGTAGATGGTGGTTTTATGACCGTAACCCGCAACTACGTTAAAGCGGTTCTTGACTCTCTTTTTTGTAAATTTATACCGTAAGAAACTTGGATTTATTAATGGAGACAAGTAAATGAATGATTCAATACTTTGTTTCTTTAGATGTTGTAGAGAATAATAATAAGATTTCTTAAATAAATAAACAAATAAAAGATGATCGTGAGGATCGTACAGTCGCGTCAAGAATTATGACACTCGCATCGGCTACGTATGCTATGCGCGCGTGCTCATCGGAAGTGGGTCGTCCGAGCGTATCCCACAGAGAGTAAATTGAGTCGACTCGCTTGGGATAGGAGGAGGAGAAGGAGGATAAGAGAAAGGAGGAAAAAGAAGGATAAATGCAAATCGCCGCGCGCGCTCTTCTTTCATCCCGACAGAAAACGCCCCGATCAGCTCGGACCCGCGCTTTCGATAG